GGAAGGGGGAGGGGAGGGGAGGGAGGGAGAGGGACATGGATGTGACCCGGTTTGGGTAATCAAACTCGCAATCATTGGGGGGGGGGGCGGCACCTCTAACCATTGAGCCACACCGGCTAGGGCTATGGTGAAGTTCTTGAACAGTCGAGGTGAAAGTATATCAGGTTGTGACTGGACAGTATTCCTGACGTCAGAGCATTTTTGGTGATAAGATCCAGGTTTTTGACTGGGATTGAGAGGCTGATATTAAGAGTCGCTAGAGATAATGCACGGATGTTGATTGGGTTGTCCACATTGACTATGAAATTATCAAGATGGGAGACAGAAGAAAGTAAGGTATGGGGTTGGATGCACAAATAAGTAGATGCTCTCTACAGAGGCGGTTAAATGGGTGAAGAGTCTTGACAGTAAGCGTCGGAGAAGTAACGCTTTTTACGAGGTGACAGTGTTTGGCACATAATCCCCCACCTTTGGAACCTCGAAAGTGAGAATACTAATGCCCATGTGACGGGTGTTCCAAGTGATGCCTCAAAGGACAGCCAGGTCTCAATCCACGAAAGAATGGAGTTCAGAGAAAAGTTGATCTGGAAGCGGGAATCTCAGAGGCTGGAAAGGGGACGGCAGCAACAGAAAACACTGACACTCCTAGTTCTTGATTTACCTTCTTCCCGACCTGCCACCCGCGCAACACCAACCTCCGCAACCCAGAAAACGCGCAGAAAAACCTGGTGAACACCGGCTCTTTTTCAACTCCCGCGGAAGTGCTCACAACCGATCGCTTCCACGTCCGCGCTTTTCCTTTGGCGGAAGCTTCCGCCAACTTTAATGCGCTTCCGCTCACGACTTACTTGGGTGGAGCGGTCCCTAGAAGTCACTTCCGCCTGACTCCGCCCCTCGATCCCCTTTTGGCCGCTTCCGGCTTCAGGCCGCACCCCATCCCGTGAGGCCCCGCCCTTTCCCCCAGCCCAGGGTGGACAGGCGGGCCCCGCGGCGCCGCTTCCGGTGCGGGCCCCGCCCCGGCTGTGGCCCTCGGTTTCGGACCAGTTGGAGACGCAGCGTTAGCGCCGGGGCGTGAGCATCCGCCTCCTCCGCAGCCGGCGGACCTCGGGCGCCCCGCATAGGTAAACTGCGCGGGCCCGGCTCCCTCAGCCGCGGCGGGAGCAAGGGCTGTAGCAGGTGGAGGGGACGGAAGGGTAAAAGGGAGGCAGGTGTGCAGGGGTAGACGTGAAGGCGCTGGCCGACTGAGCGCGGGGGTTGCGGGGGAAAGGTGAGAGTGCTGGGAGGAGACCGGAGACGCCCTGCGCCCTTTAGGGTGATTGGAGATAAAGGGATGGTCCGAGTAAAGGCCCCC